CCGGAGATATGACCTCAGAGCTAGACACACGACTCTAGGTGAGGGTCCTCCCGGGAGATCTGACCTCAGAGCTAGACACACGACTGCAGATGAGGGTCCTCACCGGTGATATGACCTCAGAGCTAACACATGACTCCAGGTGAGGGTCCTCCCCGGAGATATGACCTCAGAGCTAGACACACGACTCTAGGTGAGGGTCCTCACCGGTGATATGACCTCAGAGCTAGACACATGACTCAAGGTGAGGGCCCCCCCGGGAGATCTGAGGTGAGGGTCCTCCCGGGAGATCTGACCTCAGAGCTAGACACAACTGAAGGTGAGGGTCCCCCCGGAGATCTGACCACAGAGCTAGACACACGACTGCAGAGGAGGGTCCTCCCGGGACATCTGACCTCAGAGCTAACACATGATTCCAGATGAGGGCCCTCCCCAGAGATATGACCTCAGAGCTAGACACAACTGAAGGTGAGGGTCCTCCCGGGAGATCTGACCTCAGAGCTAGACACAACTGAAGGTGAGGGTCCTCCCGGGAGATCTGACCTCAGAGCTAACACATGACTCCAGGTGAGGCCCCTCCCCAGAGATATGACCTCAGAGCTAGACACACGACTCAAGGTGAGGGTCCTCCCGGGAGATCTGACCTCAGGGCCAGACACATGACTCTAGGAGAGGGTCCTCACCGGAGATATGACCTCAGAGCTAGACACACGACTCAAGATGAGGGCCCTCCCCGGAGATATGACCTCAGAGCTAGACACACGACTCTAGGTGAGGGTCCTCCCGGGAGATATGACCTCAGAGCTAGACACACGACTCTAGGTGAGGGTCCTCCCCGGAGATATGACCTCAGGGCCAGACACATGACTCTAGGAGAGGGTCCTCACCGGAGATATGACCTCAGAGCTAGACACACGACTCAAGATGAGGGCCCTCCCCGGAGATATGACCTCAGAGCTAGACACACGACTCTAGGTGAGGGTCCTCCCGGGAGATATGACCTCAGAGCTAGACACACGACTCTAGGTGAGGGTCCTCCCCGGAGATATGACCTCAGGGCCAGACACATGACTCTAGGAGAGGGTCCTCACCGGAGATATGACCTCAGAGCTAGACACACGACTCAAGATGAGGGCCCTCCCCGGAGATATGACCTCAGAGCTAGACACACGACTCTAGGTGAGGGTCCTCCCGGGAGATATGACCTCAGAGCTAGACACACGACTCTAGGTGAGGGTCCTCCCCGGAGATATGACCTCAGTGAGGGGCAGGAAGTGGCATTACTCCAGGGAGAGGGGCAGGAAGTGGCATTACTCCAGGGAGAGGGGCAGGAAGTGGCATTACTCCAGGGAGAGGGGCAGGAAGCGGCATTACTATAGGGTGAGGGGCAGGAAGCGGCATTACTCTAGGGTGAGGGGCAGGAAGTGGCATTACTCCAGGGTGAGGGGCAGGAAGCGGCATTACTATAGGGTGAGGGGCAGGAAGTGGCATTACTCCAGGGTGAAGGGCAGGAAGTGGCATTACTCCAGGCCAGGGGCAGGAAGTGGACACATTATGTGTGATCTTCTAGTTGGTGTCACTCTTCTCAGATCTGGTCACGTGAGGTATCTCCATGACTCACCTCCTCAGAGATGTCTATGGTGACCCATATTGGCTCCCAAGGGCCACCAACCCCGGAGATCCCAGCATTCTCCCCAAGAGGTCAGATTGAAGGACACTTAGATCTGAGCTCGGGCCCTGGAACTCTCTCGGTGTTGCTGTGATAGTGATACGGTGCGCCGTATGAACAGCCAATCACGTGACTGCGTTTTGTTTCCTGAACGTCAGAGATCAGTGCGAGTTCAAACCGTTCCCCACCTCACAGTCATGGTCCTGACATGGGGCCCGGCTCTACACACAGCTCGGGGGCCCATCCACCAAGGAAGCATCTTCCTGGATACTGGATATCAAACTGTCTGATCCTAAAAGCTAACAGTCTAAAATATGTGACGTGTCATCGGAAGAGCCCATAGACTTCCAGAGGGACCGCCCCCTCTGTATTGATGAAGGATCTCAGCACCGGCCAATCGGCTGCTGGTGTGGTGGCGCAGAGCGTTCCGGGGGCATTTGTATGATGGA